TTTCTTAAGTTCATGACCCCAAAATTCTTAATCTTTCCTCCACAGTCCAAGAAAAACATGATGAAAAAAACAAAGGGAAACTAGCAGAGAAGAAAATATAGGAAAAAGATGATATATCAGAAAAAGAATCTATATACAAGTGTGCTAGGTGTTAATAATCATTTAAAACATAGTTTCTACTGCAAAAATTACTGGATTCCAAACAATGACTTACTAAAGAACTTTTGGATAGCAAAGATATTAAGTTCGGAACTTTATATTTTCATAACATTTTGGATATTTTATAGTACCTCTATACCTGTTTTATCATGTTCAAAGTCTCTTACACTCCCAAGAAATTCAATAACACCCACCTCAAAAAGAAAAAAAAAAAAAACCTTTACGGGGCACCTGGGTGGCTCAGTTAAGCATCCGACTTCGGCTTAGGTCATGATCTCACGGTTCGTGGGTTCAAGCCCTGCACTGGGCTCTGTGCTGACAGCTAGCTCAGAGCCTGGAGCCTGTCTTCGGATTCTGTGTCTCCCTCTTTCTCTGACTCTCCCCTGATCATGCTCTCTCTCTCTCTCTCTCTGTCTCTCTCAAAAGTAAATAAAACATTAAAAAATAATAATAAAAGAAGAAGAAAAAACCCTTTGTAAAATTCAAGAAAATTTTCATTCATTTGAATATTTTGGGAGTTTATGTTTGTTAGAAAGTTGTAGTTAATAACAATTGCTTGATATTTTCAAGCTTAATCAGAAAACATTGTTTTAATTCTTGATATATATTTATTTATAAAGGTTTTTTAAAATGTTTATTCATTTTGAGAGAGACAAAGAGAGCACAAGGTTGGGGGGGAGTGGCAGAGAGAGAGGGAGAGAGAGAATTCCAAGCAGACTCCACACTTAGGATGGAGCTCAATCCGGGTCTCAAACCCACAACTGTGAGATCATGACTGAGCTGAAATCAAGAGTCAGATGCTTAACCAACTGAGCCACCCAGGAGTCCCTTGATATTTATTCTTAACTTTTTCAAAGTATGCATCCTAAAAAAAATTCTTCTATCTACCTATCTTAAGTTATACAGTATGTAAAGCTCTGATTTTTAATTTGGGATCTTATAGTAGTACCTAAGTGAATGTCATCATTGTGAATGCCTGATGTATGAGATAAGGAAAGCTAATTGCATATGTGTTGAAAAGAAAAGCTGAAGTCTAGAAGTCAGATTTTTTTTTTTAATTTTTTTTTTAAGGTTTTTTTAAATTTATTTCTAGGAGAGAGACAGCATGAGTAGGGGAGGGTCAAAGAGAGAGGGAGTCACAGACTCTGAAACAGGCTCCAGGCTCTGAGCTGGCAGTCAGCACAGAGCCCGACGCGGGGCTCGAACCCACGAACCGTGAGATCATGACCTAAGCGAAAGTCAGACGCTTAACCGACTAAGCCACCCAGGCGCCCCTAGAAGTCAGATTTTTTTTTAAAGCTAAACAACTGATATGTTAGTTTCCCTTTTTATAATCACTGAGTAAGAAAATATATTAAAGTAATGGCTTTGGGGAAGTTTTAGAGTAAAATTATCATTAACCTTAGGTTATATTTCTCTTATTTTTTAACCTCAAAAAATTCAATCCAAAGATGATGATTTTCAAGTGACTTTTATGTGATAAATACTTAAAAAAAATTGTTTTAATGTTTATTTTTGAGAGAGAGAAAGAGACAAAGCATGAGCGGGGTAGGGGCAGAGAGAGAAGGAGACACAAATACAAAGCAGGCTCCAGGCTCTGAGCTGTTAGTACAGAGCCCAATGTGGGGCTCAAACTCACAAACTGCAAGATCATGACCTGAGCTAAAGTCAGATACTCAACAGACTGAGCCACCCAAGTACCCCATAAGTGATAAATAATTTTAAAGTTATTTTTCAAAACACTCAAAATGGTACACTTCTTTCTATAGACTAATCATCTCTTAAATGGACAGGTTTTTTTTTTTTTTAATTTTTTTTTAATGTTTTATTTATTTCTAGGAGAGAGAGAGAGAGAGACAGCGTGAGCAGGGGAGGGTCAGAGAGAGAGGGAGTCACAGACTCTGAAACAGGCTCCAGTCTCTGAGCTGGCAGTCAGCACAGATCCCGACGCGGGGCTGGAACCCACGAACCGCGAGATCATGACCTAAGCGAAAGTCGGACGCTTAACCAACTAAGCCACCCAGGCGCCCCTTAAATGGACAGTTTTTAAACTTCCCAATTTAAGTAACAATTAAAGGTGTAGCTAACAATCATTTTATTCTAAGACAAGTCAAATGTATCTTAAAATATGTCTTATCTGGTTTTAAACAAACACGTTTATAATTTATTTACCTATTTTATAGCAAACACTGGTTTCCTAAAAGTCTACATTTTCTAAAGAAAAAAAATACTGCAATAATTAATGATTTCCTAAGAACACAGTGGGTCATTGAGGTTGGGCCAGGAAACAGCATATTAGGACTTTTTGCTCTAACAAATGGAATGAAAGTCACATGGTTTGGTTGCATAATTATTCATTAGGGTGTGTGTGTGTGTGTGTGTGTGCGCGTATAAGTAAAATATTCTTATTAGATTTCACTGGATACAAACTGTCCTGAATTAGTGAAAGTCATATATTATAGAATATTTTCAAAAATTTATCGTTCTATTATTTTCAAGTAACTCTAATTAACTGCCCACAAAATGCTGTCAAGCAGATATCCAACCAAGCCTCTTTTAATGAATAAATAGGACTTTGTTAGTAAATGTGGTATCTGGAATCTTAATAACATCCTTAGAAGTTTAATGTTCCCGAGGCAAGGATATAATAGTTAAGAGAAACTAAATAATTCAGTTTTCTGAGATCTTATTCATCTTAAGCAGTGAGTTTATTAACCAGATGACACACAGTGAGGTCAGAGTGCTAATGAACATGGAGCATCTCCTTTGTTCAGCAGGAGAGAATAAAGTATGTGATCTTAGGGTTTGCAACACACCTTCTGTAGGTTCTCTACTGCCTTTTTAGTAGCTTAGCAGGGAAAAGAGAAATTGACTCTTTCTATGATGTTTTTCTTCTTTTTGGTGATGAAACAGAGATGAGAAGGCATGGTCTGGACTATTTCTGTTCACACTGGTCTTAACATAAGAAAATGCTATCTACACTCAAAATCTGTCTACATTCAATACATTTATTTCAGAGTAAGGGAGGTCTAATGCTTTTTTACTGATTGATACCATTTTCGATCTTTTCCTTTTTAAAAACCCAATTTGCTTATGTAGAGTACAGTCAATTCTGCATTCCCAATTCATTAGCCTTCTCAATGTTATCTACAGGCTTTGCTCAAATAGCATTTTTTCTAGCACTCAATCCCAGACTGGATAAAGAGCAAAATACAAGATGATAAAAGTTTAGATCTCAAATCCAATATCCCAAGTTCCAGTTTTCAACCTCAGAATCAGAAAAATTTCATCATGCTCAAATATAATTTCCAAGCTGTAGTATATAGAAATTTATGATTTTGATGTTAAAATTCTTGTTCTTAGATAGGTTAACTACTCCCCTACTATAATATGTTTTATTTAGCTGTGAGTACCACCAGAAGGCTTCTTTGTATTCACGCTAGTGAGATGGAAATAACATCCTAACCAGAGATAACCTTGCCAACTTGGCTTGATTTTAAGAAAACTACTTCATGTAAATATTTTTTCTTTTGAAAAAATCTAAAAGCAAGGCCTGTATAAATAATATCAACTCCTTATCAAAAAGTCATCCCTTTAAAAGAAGAAAATTTTTCTACAGGTTCTTAAATTAGCTTTAAGTATATATGGAGACCCAGAATATACAGTTAGGAAACAAGCAAATTGAAAGCAGCATTAACTTAATTTTCCCTTTTTGGTTAGTTTCAATCTGCTGTTATATATCATTTGTATAAAGCTTGAATTAGAAATCTGAAATATTCTTTCCTAATGGAATGTAAAAAAAGAAACCAAAGATGATTACTCTTAAAACACAAACAAATTTAGCATTTATAGAGTAATACTAGGAACAACAAAGACAATAACACTACTTCACACAGTAAGCAGCTCTTTTAGAGCAGGTACATATACTATTTGCAATCAGCCTGTTTCATAATTTATTTACTATAAAGAAATTCTGACTCTAACATAGATAGCCTTGTTGATGGGAATCCTAATAATATTTGAAATTTTAGCAAGCAATGATGCAGAAAGATGCATAATAATGCTTTTTTGTGTGTGTTCATTAAATTAGCCTTCATCTCAATGTGCCAAAAGAGTACTCATATTCAGCAGAAGTTTTAGGATAAGGTGAAAAATAATTCTAAAAAATTTATGCCCATTAAGCCTCTAAGCTAACTGAGTAAGTTGCTGCCAATGTGTATGTATGAGAAAGAAGAGAACTTTGAGATAACCAATTCCTTTAGGCAAGTGGTTTACTAAAGCTATGATCAAGAATAAAATCAGAATTTTTTACATTATACAAAAGTGACTCAAAGTTCCTATAGCTACCTGTTAGAAAAATAGTCATTACACTAAATCAGCCCCCTAAATGGTCATAGTGCTACCCATACCTATTTGACTTTCTTCCCAGAAAGTGTCTATCATCATTCAGTGAAACAGCCATTAATATACCTTTACATACTAAGAAACTCCCCTAAGACCTTTACATACTAAGAAACTTTCTTAAGACCTCTTAACAGTATGAAACACCACCCAAATCCAAGAAAAATGTCAACAAAAAAATACTGATTTCTTTTTTTGTTAATGTTTATTTATTTATTTTGGGGGGGGGGAGGAGCAGAGAGAGAGGGAGAGAAAATCTCAAGCAGGTACTATTGCATAGCCCAGCATGGAGCTCAATCTCATGAACTATGAGATCGTGACCTGAGCTGAAATCAAGAGTTGGACATTTAACCAGCTGAACTACCCAGGTGCCCCAAAACATACTTATTTCTAACAGCTTGATTACAAGGGGAAAAATGTTCCCAACCTTTTCCACTTACCTAGAAGTTTTGCAATGATATAAAGGGCTTGTCCCCAAAGAAAGAGTTTTCCATCACGGCCACAATTGCTAGGAAATCGCTTTTGACTACCAGGGTTTCTTTTCTCATATTCTACAAAATCAGCTGGCACATAATAGTACTTTGGTATGACAGGATAACCTATGGAGTTTAAAAATAAATATTTGAAATATAAAAATCAGTGTCCTCCTCAAATTTTCCCTTCAAGAAATTGCAATGTTAGAAAGCAGACAGAGACAGGTTGTAAAGGAGGTAACAGATTTGATAAACTATAGAAAATTGGTTATTTTGGCTTTCAGAAATTGCCAGTGAAAAATGTGGATAAAGCTTCTGATTTTAAAACACTAATTTGACAGCATATGTTTTGCTTTAGCCAGTAATGTGTACATAATCTCCTTTAACAACATTTAATTTTAACACCTTTAAATGAATCAATAAAAATACAGTAGGCCAACATTTAGAGCCAAAGAAGCTATCTTTAATAGGATTAGTCTGTAGAAGCATTACAAATGAGATACTATGTAATCCCAAATGAAGAATTATAACCCTGAGCCATTGCTTAAAGCAAAGGAATCCCCATTTTAAACATTAAGTCCATTATCTACCATTCAATATCACTGAAGAAAAAAAAAATCCATCCTCTCCTATGACTGACTCATTTAAAAACATTCCTTGAAAGAAACTAAAATTTATTACTTAAAGACTAAAATCTTTGTGGATGACATAAAAGGAAAAAAAACCCACAATATTCTAGTAGAATGCTACAGAAGACTTTGCACTATCAGCCCACAGGAACCTTAATTTTCCTAATAAAATTGCACAGATTTCTCTAAAATTTGCTTCCTTCATACATCCTAGTTATATTTGTATCTAAAACCAATAAAAAGGTCCTTGTGAAACACAAAGAATAGTTTGTACATCACTCTCTGAACATGATAAAGACTAAACTGTCATACACTGAATTACCACCTCAATGCATCAATAATCTATCACCGAATACTAAAAGATTTGATTCAAGGGATTTCAATATTATATTCATTACAAAAGACATTACATTGTTTCTCACTTGGGACAAATTATTATTTGGAACATAATGATATAAATCACTGGTTTTAAAATTTAATATTTATTTGGAATTCAATGTTTACCCACAAATATTTCACTACTTTAACATTACAAGTATTTTAAAGGATGAGTACATACTGTGAAGTTTGTGTTCTAAGGTACTTGTGGAAAACCCTAAAGAATATCACAAAGTTCATGTGAGGTAAGAATGGGGCCAATGCTATCATTGCAAATTTGTACACCATGTCCATAAGACTAACCACTTTATACCCACACATAATAACTTTTTTAATTTTCAGATAAATGTTTTCAAAGCTGTTTACATATATATGTAAATATATATACATATGTATATTTAGTATATATTCTTATTTTATTAATACTTCCAAACCCCAAAGTACATGGAACCTCTTCTTCAAAATTCTCTGAGAATTAGTTTTCTAGTCATACTGAAAAATCAGTTATATTCTTTTATGGGCCCTACTGGTGTTTAACTAAAACCAATACACTACTCATAAGAGTCTTTAATTCATTTCTAAAATATTAAATCCATCCTCAAAGGATGAGGGATTAGCACAAAGCAGACATTTAAAATAACATGCTAAAGGTCCAAGCAACAACTCCAGAGAGGAGGCTGAATGTTCTTGGCAACGGTAGTGCCATTAGGCTAGGTCAGAGCCTCTTAAGGTAGCCCTCTGGAGGGGGCAGCATTTACCTGAACAGAGCATTTCTGGTGATCTGGACAAAAACTGGTCACTCTATATTACCGTCACTCTATACAGAGTGAAGGCGTTTTCATAGTAGGTAGTCATAACAAAAACCACTGCCCAGCTGGCAAACTATCTTGCAATGACTATAGCCATAACCACCTGAATTTATTCCCCCTTGTCTTGCCCAATGAACTTTTATAAAAACAAACTTATAACAACAAATGAATAGATTATTCTTATAATTCATTCAAGGCTCCATTCATTTTTTTTTACTTTAACATAAATAACTACATTTAAAAAGGAATCATTTAATGCATTTCCAAGTAATGTTAAGGAAATATTAGTAGGAAGAATTTCTTGAAAAAACAATCCAACTATACCTTCTGTGGTCTGATGAAGTACTGGAGTCAAAAGATCCTGATATTCCTTTACTTGTTTGGGGTTGCCTCTAAAAACTCCTAAAATGTAAAATATTAAATACAATAGCATCTGAGCTCAATAAGCACCACAGAAATTTTACCTTAGAAAAAGTCCAGTTATGATTATTTTGGTAATTTTCTATGTAAATGATAAAAATAAAACTGAAAAAAGGTAATGCAAATATATATGATATTATTCCAGGAAACTGATTTTAGAAGGCCATGTTAGCATTTAGAAGCGAAAATTGAATTTTAATTGAAATTCTCTATTCTTAAGTGTAAATGTTATAGATATTCACAATGTCACAGATTATAACATTCATTTTTACTATTCATAAAAAAATTTTATTTGCAAATAGGCAAATATATTTGTATCATTTCTTAATAACTCCAAAGTATATTTTTTAATTCTTTAAATGATTTAATATTCACTTAGAAAGCAGAAGAAGAGCATATAAAAGTGCAGAGCAGTTAACATCACTGAAGTATAGTCTATTTTGCTAGCTGAAAGGGTCATATTTCATCTGCTTTTTCTTTAAACCACTAATACTCTATAGCTTAAATTTCAGGAAAAAAGCTCACTTACCATCAATCATCATGTAAAGGAAAAATATGGGAAATTCACATTCAATGCCATCAAAGAGCTAAAACAGAAGACAAAATATTAAAAATTTCACTAAAATTAATTAGAACAATTATATTAGAACAATGATGTTAATTAGAACAAATATATTAATTAATTATATATATAAAACAATTGTTAGAACAACTGTAGTTAGGATACACATAGATGATTTATACAGTAATAACAAAATTAGACTGATAAAAGTAGCTTCATTGTTCTTTTAAAAATAATTTTTAGCACTCTTATTATTCAAAACCACATTCATTCAATATATCACATACTAATCATTCAATCAATAAATATTTACTAAGTCCTTCGTAATGTCTGGCACCAACTAGACAGAGGGCTATGAAGACCAAAAAAGAGGGAAGTTGCCCTCAAGAGCTCACAGCCTATTGGGGAGTCAGGCATGTAAATAAATAACTGTAGTATCTTATGAGATGTGTACACATGGTACATTAGGAACACAGGAAATGAAACACCTGAATCTGCCTAGAGGTTGGAAAGGGTTTATAAGAAAGGAGATGCTTCAATTAATGCTTGATGGATTTCTCTAGGGAGATCTCTAACTAAGGGAACTCCATGCAGAGAAAACAATACTACAAACTATAGATGTATGGGAAGACAAAGTTTGTTAAACTACCAGCAATTCAGTATTTCTGGAAAAAATAAGAAAGAAATCATGAGAACTAACACCCAAGAGGTTAGGGGGACCAGACCAGCCAGATTAGGAAGGGCCTGGCAAGTCATGGTAAAAGACTTGAGACTTTGGGGCACCTGAGTGGCTCAACTGGTTAAGCGACTGACTTCTGCTCAGGTCATGATCTCACGGTTCGTGAGTTTAAGCCCCTCAGTGGGGCTCTCTGTGGTCATTGTGGAGCCCGCTTCATATCATGTCTCCCTCTCTCTCTGCCCCTCTCCCACTCAAGCATGTGTGCTTTCTCTCTCTCAAAAACAAATGAACATTAAAAAATATTAAAAAAAAAAAAAAGATTGAGACTTTGATCTGGAAGTCACAGGCAAGCACTGGTGAATCAGATTGACTCATTAGATTTACTTACTAGTTGGACAGCTGGCAGTATTGAAGAGAGTTTTAGGGCAAGAAATAAAGAGACCAGCTGGAAGGCTACTTGGAAACAATCCAAGAGAAAATATGATAGCCTTAACTATTTCTCAACTTCAGCACTACTGTCATTTTGGGCCAAATAATTCTTTGTTGTAGAGGTTATTTTATGCATTGGAGAATGTTTAGTAGCATCTTCAGCCTCTACCTTCCAGATGCTAGTAGCACCCACTACTTGGTGACAATGAAAAATGTCTGCTGATATTGTCATATGTCTCCTGGAAAGCAAAATCATTCCTGCTTATGCATTACTAGCCTAAACTAAGGAGTTAATAGAGGGGAAGAGACAGGCATTCAAATTACAGGAGGTTAAATCTGCTAAGGCCTGGTGAGTGACAAAGAGGGTTGAATGAGAAGGAAAAGCCGAGAATGACGCTCAGGTTTGGTGCTTGAGCAGAAGAGTGGGAATTGAACAAAAGAAGGCTGAAGGACATCCAATTAAGGATAGACAGAAGGCAGTTGGATACACAGTAGGGCACTAAGGGGGAGAAGTTAGGGATAGAGATCTGGAGTTAAGAGTGATAGCTGAAGCTATGATTGCATGAAAAGAAAACAGGACTGAGGATGGAAGAAGTTTATAAGGGGAGTTCCTAGCAAAGTCACACAGCAGTACTGACAAGCAGTGAAATCAATGATAAGGACTGAATACCAAGATGGGTGTTCTGAATCTGGGGTGGCATCTGTCCCCGCTGCTGTGGCTTTCTGTGGTGGTGCTCAGCAGCAAGTACAGAAATAGGGAAACTACTCGACTGACCCAGATTTGAAAATATGCAGGGTGGTAGTTACAGCAAGTCCATTTCAAATGTAAGTACTGGAAATCAGCTCAGAAATGTATTAAACAGAGAAGAAATATCTGAAGGTGCTTAAGAGATAAATAGATCTTGTGACCCAACCTAATAGTCTGCTATAATGTTCCAAATACATATACAATAAAATGGCTCCTACCACTTCCAGGTGATAGTTGTGAAATTAAATAAAATGATAAATAGTTTGTCTAGTTGTCTAGCAAAGCTAGGTATGTATTAAAGAGTGGCACTTAATTGCCTAACAAATTACAAGGTACAATGTTGCCTAGACATTTTCTATATACAGACCCATGGGACCTTCCTTACCTATCTTCAAAGTTATGACCATACTTACAAAAATAGTTTTCAGTCTACATCACTAAAGAGAAGTCTTTAGCAATGTGGATGGATGCTTACCCTTTCTTTGGGGTCTTATAGTTTTCTGGACAGCTTAAAAATATCTAGAGTAAACCTAGATAAAGTGGTATATATGTGCACTTGAAAGAACTGTTTTAAAACTAAATATTAAGATGACTATATTTCAAAGGGAAATGTCTAAGTGAAACATAAAAAAAGAGAATTTGTATAAAAGACTGAAAGCTGAATCACAAACAGGTATTTTCTATTATATAAGGCAAACAAAGTACTGAAACTGCAGTAGAAAAATCACTCATCCAGTGAATCAACATGGCTCAGTATGAGCAAATGGGTCTTACTACTAGTAAGGCTAACACTTACTGAGTGCTTACTCTATGTCAAGAACCATGTGAAGCACTTTTAGATATACGTTAACTCATTCAATCCTCATTAGAACCTCAATAATAGTACTGTTATTATTTTACCAATGAAAAATATTAAACACAAAGAGGTTGATTAACTTGCCCAAGGCCAGATAGCTAGTAAGTGGCAGAGCCAGAATTCCAACCCGAGAAGTCTGTTTCCTGAATTGGTGCTTTTGACCACTCTGCTAGGGTATGAAATATTTTTTGATACCTTAATTTCAGCTGGTTTGTAGTAGCGTCGGTTGGGATCTTCCAATGATGTTCTATAACCATCTCTCAAGAAACGTTTAAATCCATATTTTCCTTTTAATTTTCTAACTACTTTATCAAGTGTCTGGCTAAACAAAGCTTCATCATCCAGGGCAAATGCAGGATAACTGATGCAGGGTAGTAGGGCAGCATCTGTGTTCTGGGGGCAACAGGAAAAAGAAAGGAATGTAAGTGCCTACAATGGTATGATCAACACAGCCCAGCAAGACTGGGAGATGAAAAGTCAATCAGGTTACGTAACTGACAGTGAGATTGCTGTGCTCCAAGGCACAGACAGACATTTACCAATGAATTAGTGAACCTCACAGAGGAGAGAAAACTTTATCCATTAATAAGAAGTATTTTCAAGATTCGACACTGGACTCAAACTCTAAGGCAGTGTGTAAAAATTTAACACTGATAATTATTAATTATAACTTAGTCTGTCATAACATTGGTTTATAATGGTGAAAAGAGAAAACAATCTGAATCTCCAACAATTAGCTGAGTAAATTAGCAGCCATTAAGATTTATATTGTAGAAACGTTTATAGATGTGGAAATATGTCTTCATAGAAGTAGGTTATCAAGCATTATCAATAATATTCTTCCTGTTTTATAAAATAAAAATATTACATATGTACATAAAACTATGAGAAAACATAGAGACCCAAGTGTTGTCACCCTAAAACTATAACTAAGTGGTAAAATGAATGGATGTCACATTACTATATGCTTATTTGTGGGTTTTTTTAAATCATAATCTTATATTACGTCTATGAAATGGTTCTTTTAAAAAAATTACATTATATTATTTGGAGTGTTTTCTAAGAACAGAGCCACAAAACCTCTAGAAAAATCTATAATCAGGTACTATAGGCATATAAAAATTTAAAGATAAATCACATGAGAGAAGAAACAAAGCAGGTAACTTTATTCAAAAGAAATATACCTCATGAAAAACATTTTTCTAATATTCATTTGGGTATAAAGTTGCTTCCCTCTCCTCTTCCCCTTCAAAATAGGTCTAGTTTTCTATAGTTCTACAAAAGACTCAAGGACAAAGTAGTTTTGTCCACAGCTCTGGTCACTTCCTGAACTAAACCTCCACAGGACAGCAGAGTGAGGGGCAACATTTATTCTCCTCATTTCCTCTCGCAACCTCTAACATTTTAAGCATTTTCTTGGGGAAAGCAATCATAAATGGTAGTTCCTATTAATTTATGATGAAAATATCTTAGGGCACTTCAGTGGCTCTACTGGTTACACAACCAACTCTTGATATCGGCTCAGGTCATGATCTCACAGTCATGAGATCAGGCCCTGAATCAAGCACCGCACTGAGCATGAAGCCTGCCTGGGATTCTCTTTCTCCCTCTCTCTCTGCTCCACTCCCCTCAAAATAAATAAATAAGCATTTATAAAAAATAAAAATATCTCACATGAGATCTTGATTCTCTGGGTAACAGCGAACACAAAGTTTGCCTGTTGCGATTGTGAGCATCAAGATCCACAAATATAACCGACCAAGAACAGCCCTGGAACAAGAGAGAAAAAAAAATTCCTAAATCAAGAAAAAGGAACTTTTAGAATGCTGGACATTTTGGTTGTAAGATATTTCACAAAAATTCTAACACTGGTTGCATTTAAGAGTGATCTAACAGAAGATTTAAATTTTCTTTTTAATATTTTCAGTATTTCCCAAATTTCTTGCAATAAACATTAATTTTAAATAAAAATAAATGTTATTTTTACATTTTCCAGATTTCTCCCTAGTTTTCTTATAAATCAAAAGATAGTGATTATAAGATTAGAACTAATCAATTAAGGATACTTATTTTAATAAAGATAAAAATAGTTTAGCTAGCATTTTTGACAAGGAATAAAGCAAGAACTAATTAGAATTCATGAAATCTGAATTATACAGTCCTAAAAAGAACATTGATTATATGATCAAACTAAACAAAGTTAGATACAATCTAGAATTAGAGACATAAAAAACTATTTGATTAAAGTATGAAGGATAGGAGTATCTTTAATAATAATAATGCCACATAGTACTAGCTAATATTCACAATATCAAGTACTGTTTTTCACATGGATTATCTCACTTAATCCCCAATATGTAGATATTATTATCCTCCTTTTAATGAAGAGGGTGCTGACTTAGTAGTTTAACAGAGGAAAGTTTAAAAAATCAGGTCTTTGACATAAAAGCTCATGTCTTAACATGAGTTATAAAATTTCCCACACTAAAAATTATCTTTCAAGTAAGAACCAAAAACTTAAACAAAAAGATAGGTAACTAAAAAATGGCAATTGGTTTGATAACCAAGTTAAATAAAATTTACTATTAGTACTTTCCATATTCAAACACATCATCATAAGTAAACATGGCTTTGTTCTTTTACAGGGGAGCTAAATATTTTCATAATGATAACTGGGTCAACTTATCAGGAAAATGAAATAATACTAAATTTTTATGCACCAAAAAAACCCAGAGCATCCAAATACATGATGCAAAACTATAGACCTGAAAAGGGAAATAGACAAATCCATAATTATAGTTAGAGAATTTAATCTTTTAGTAATTGATAGTACAAATAGAGAGAATATCTGTGAAAATACAGTAGAAATTAAACAAACATTCAACTATCTTGACCTAATTGACAGTACACTCGACCAAACAAACATCAAAATACCCATTTTTTTTCTCATGTGTGTGTGGAACATTTACAAAGACAAATCACATTTTGTGACATACAATTAAAAACATAACAAAATACAGGGTGGGGACCTTATTTGTATCCTGATTAGCATGAACCTACTTGAAAAAAAACACCAAGAGGCAAAGGATGAAATTTAAAAAGGTACTAAATCAATAATAATAATGAGTGTTAAAAAAAAAAAAGAAAATGCAGAGAATAAAATTGGAGTATAGAGACTGCTTCCATAATAAGACAATACTCAGGAAAATACATGGGGAAAGGAAGAAGAGAACTCTTACAACTTTCATGTTACTTTAATATTACCCTTTAAATCTCTCCAAATTTACACCAACCTCAAAGATGCATTCACCCTGAAACTGAAATATCTTGAATCAATCACCTAGACTGACTCAAAATCTAGTACTATTATGCTCTACATCAAAATATCAGATTTACTATATGTATATTTTTCCTGTTAACCTGTTCATATATGAGTATCATCTCTAAAAATAGAATAATTTTCCATTCATGGCACCATTTCTTAAATCTCTTTTAACTCTGATAAATTAATAAATGAAAAATGAATGAGTGAGGCTGACTCTTAACAATGAGATTAATGCTAAACTGTCCTTTCTATGATTTTAAAGTCTCAACTTCTAGTCTCCACCCACAAAACTGAGCCCAACAAAGCTTGATGCAGTAGCTGACATTGTCATAGTCAAATGTTCTCTCCTTTAATGAAAATAAACAAGATAGAAATTGATCTCCTCTCTCAAAGAATTGACCCAGGTGACACATAGTCCTAAACAAGATGAATATTAAGCAAAACAAAAAGATTGCACATGGCAGTATACAAATGATTGGCTTAGATGAGAGAATACTAGTGATAATAAAATTCTTAAGTCAACAGGAGAAAAACAATAGGGAACTTGGGGTACTTTCTGGAGAAGGTAAACTAGGATATGGGGAAAGGGAAGCAAATAGAGTAAGTAGTTAGAACAAAATAGCAGAGAAACAAATGGGTATGAGATGTTGGGAATCTGTGAGTATAGAAAACAGGACTTATAGTTTATCCTTAGGCTGATAATTAATAATGTTAGTTGTATGCCAAATCACTCTGCCTTGAACTGAATTTTTAAAAGATATAGTCTAAGTAGGGCAATCAATCTTTAAATAATGAAGTGAAATGGCTAATTTGGCAATTCCTGCCATTCTTTGATTAATATAAACAGCAAACTTCTATTTTCTGGCCAAAATAAATGGCTTAGTTATCTAACTTCAAAGTATTTGTTGAGATTTCTTCCTCTGTCAGCCTCTAAGAAATATGCATAAAATGAAAAATAATCTCATAATGTTGCTATATTTAAACACTGAGATCAAAGGTTGGTTAATTATCACCTATTTTAAATTATCAGACATGTTAATATTAGGACTGTAAACTTCAAAGGAAGCTACATATGTCTCCATTACTTTGGACACTTTTCATAAGATGAGCAATTTCTCTAGTCATCACCTTTTAGATTCTGGCCTCAGATCATCTGTCATTATCTTGGTTTCTCCAATTAAAGACACAAATATGAAAGGATGTTTATTATGTATATGTCACTGCAAAATATCTGATTAGCTTTGGATATTTTATTTTCACCTTCCATTTCCTGAAATCATTCCATCACTGCCATAACATCCCAACTTCAGCTGAAGAACATATTTTAAGATGAATAGTTCAAACTTTAATCCCCAAATTGAGTTTCTGCAATTGTGTCCTAGTAAATACACTAGAATATGAGCCAGCCTAACTACTGTCATGGGGACTTGAACTTTAGTGGTGGGTTAAGAGCTGCTCTGAGCCATGTACCCAAGGCTCCATTACCACAACAAACATTTCTGAGATGTCACCAAGGGTGACATCTATGACCGTAAGACACTGCTTATCTCTTTAGTCTCAATTCAAAATGAAATGATTTAAAGGGCTGTCTGAGCCTTTCTTTTCCCCATTAATTACTTCTCTGAACCTGAGTTAATGCCCTCATCTAGCATCAAAGAATCAAACAGTGAAACTGGTCAGTGTATCTACTATACATGATATTTTTTCTGTTCTTCTGAAAACAAAACCACACCAGTCTGATCATGCCACATTCTTCCCTAGTTCAGCATCAGACTGTCCCCTAGCTTTGTGGTAGATCCTCATGAGTGACATTCTTACAGGAAGGATATTTGCTGATGGGCATTATCCCTCTGCACCATGGCTGTGGGTGGCATGGGTGTGTAAATGGCCAATGTTTTTAAAAATATTTTTTTAACTTAAAGTTTACTTATTTGAGGGGCACCTGGGTGGCTTAGTCGGTTAAGCGTCCGACTTTCGCTGAGGTCATGATCTCGCGGTTCGTGGGTTCGAGCCCCGCGTCGGGCTCTGTGCTGACTGCCAGCTCGGAGCCTGGAGCCTGTTTCATTCTGTGACTCCCTCTCTCTCTGCCCCTCCCTTGCTCAAGCTGTCTGTCTCTCTTTCCTAAAAATAAATAAAAATTTTAAAAAAATTATTAAAAAAAAAAAGTTTACTTATTTGAGAGACAGAAAGACAGAGAGAGAACAACCAGGAGAGAGGCAGAGAGAGAAAATCCTAAGCAGGGATTCGACCTCACAAACTGAGAGATCATGACCTGAGCCAAGATCAAGAATTGGACACTTAACTGACTCAGCCACCCAGGAGCCCCCAACTTTTTAAAAAATGTTTATTTATTAATTTTGAGAAAGAGAACACACTAGCAGGGAAGGGGCAGAAAGAGAGGGGGGGAGAGAGAATACTAAGCAGGCTCCATGCTGTCAGCCCAGACCTGAGCTGAAATCAAGAGTCTGATGCTTAACCAACTGAACCACCCAGATTCCCCAATAGCCAACTTTTATATACTGACAGAACAGGAACCTCCAGAAGCCCCCCTCACAAGCTATGCTTCTTTTTTCTACCAAAAATCCTACTCACATGCTGTTGAAGGAATTTTCAAACTACAGAGAAAGATGAACCTGAGTGTTAATTCTCAGGGTTTCAGAACAGTATACCTGAGACTTAGACCCAGGAATCATAAAACTGCTGTTAACAATGTCTATGACATTTGCTGAGTGCAAATTATGATTTATTTAAATATTTCTAATGATATTTCTATATATTGTCACTATATTTATATGGAATATATATTGAAATTATGATGAAATATTTGATTCTCATATTGAGGATTATATAAGTTATGTTCCTAAATGTTACAAATTAATTCACCTTTATTTTAAATTTATCAGTAAAGAAATTAGACCATTTAATCATATTTTCTTCTTACATATTCTTTTGCAAAGGAAAATAAGTTTTGAAAATAGTTTCAGAGTGAATATTTAAATAATGGTTTTCTCTGGAGGGGGTTTGCCTGGGTGGCTCAGTCAGTTAAGCATCCAACTTTGGCTCAGGTCATGATCTCACAGTTTGTGGGTTCAAGCCCCACATCAGGCTCTGTGCTGACAGCTCAGAGCCTGAAGCCTGCTTTGAATTCTATGTCTCCCTTTCTTTCTGCCCCTCCCTGCTTATGCTCTATCTCTCTCAGTCTCTCAAAAAAAAAAAAAAAATATATATATATATATATATAAATAATGTAAAATAAATAAGGGCTTTTTTCTTGAATAATAAAGCAAGTCTGATATTTAAAAAAGCAGAAACATGATAATCATAATGAAAGCTAAAAGCTTATTCCACCTAATAATTTCCCATAAAAATAAAAATTAACATCTGACTTATCTCTTATACTGAAGTACACTAAGGGCAAAAGGCAGGGCTTTCACATTGTTTAATAAGTAGATACTTCTTTCAAAATTTCAATAATTACGAAGAAAATGGTGCAGTTAAAAGGTATAAACTCTCAGTTATAAAATAAATACTGGGAATATAATATACAGCATGGTGATTATAATTAATAATACTGTATTGTATATTTGAGTATTGCTAAGGGAAAAAGAACTTAAAAGTTCCTATCACAAGACAAAAAAATTATAACGAAGATGTTAATGAATGTTAAACTAGACTTTAATGTAGTGATCTTTTTGTAACATATACAAATATCCAATCATTATGTCACACATCTGAAATTAATGTTTTATATCAATTCTCTCTCAATAAAAAATTTAATTAAGAAATGAAGAGTTTTTTGACTCTTAAGTTTCTTAAGAGTTTTCTAAGACAAAGCACAGCTGTCACTTCTATAGACAGAAAGCATTCAAGATCCAAGATTCCTTGTACCAATAGCTGCTATTCCAGATTCTCTACCAAGTGTCTTTGGTTTAATTTCTGGTTTTGCCTCTCTGTTTCATGACCTGTGAAAAGCAATCTCAACTCTGACCACTCATTTTGAAAGAAGGGCCCTTCCAGTTCCAAAGATCTATGACCCTCTGAGTTGTCACCAACAGGAAAAACATTTTTTGAAAGCTCTGAATTAAGGACACATACTCAGGTCTTCCAAAACACTGTATCAATAGTTGTCAGAAATAACAGAATATACAGGTGACCTGAAATCCCTCAAGTCTTGAAGAGGTTTCTTTGGTTTTTCATTTGAATAAAAATATTTCTTTGTTATATCAGTTATTTTTCTAACCACTGACTTTTAATTAGACCACAGCTCTTTAAAGTACATGAAGCAATATTATAAGATGATTAAATACTAAAAAGATCGCATGCACTTTTAAATGCAGGTACCTCTTTAGCAGGTACTTCGCTAATTTAATTTCGCAGTGGTAGAAATTTGCAAAACTAGGATTCTCTCTGATAGTATCCAAAAAAAAAAAAAAAAAAGGATTTTACTTGCAATAGGTAACATCTGTGTGGCCACAGGAATAAGACACTATTTGTCTATCTGAAATAATCAAGAAATAGTCAAGTCAGTGAACATTTGGTGCAAAGCTCTGCTGGAAACAGACACAAGCTAAACAAGGTTAAGAATGAACTCTGCTTAAAGCAGTTGTTCTCATCCTTGGTTGCACATTAGAATTCCTGGGCAGTATAGGAAAACCTCAAAACCAAGGCTTCCCCCAGACCAATTCAATCAGAATTTCTAGGGGTACAGCCCAGGCATCAGTATTGTTTTTAAGTTCCTTAAATAATTCCAATGTGCAATCAGGATTGAGAAATTATGGCTGGGTAACAATACCAGCAGTATATATAGAACTCAAAATCAGAATGCATAAAAAAGCAATTCAGTGCTTTTAGAATTATGGCTGGCTGAGGGATCTAGGAGAGCTTCCTGGTAAAAGGAGCCTGAAGGCAGAGCTCTGAGAGATGGGGTGTTAGGAAAGGTGCCATTAGGGGTGTAGGTATCTAAGTAGGTGGAAGAGGTACATACTAGATACAGAAGAAACATATGCTACAACTCAGGTACATCAAAGGAGATGGCACAACTGCAGAAAAGAGCTGATAACTACTTCAAAACATCCAATGTAGACATACAACTCAGTCACTATTTGGAAGGCCATGGAGAAGAGGAGAGCAAGACCTGCATCATTCCAGACTATAACACTACTGGTTTAGTCCATGACTCTTCTCAGTCCCCTTGAGATTTGAAAAACCTCTCTAGAGATTTTTCAGTCTTTCTCTTCATTTCCTTTCTTTAGTATTACTAGTATTACCAGCAATTCATTAATAATAATAAGATATTAACACTGAGGGTTTAATTTTTGCCAAGCAGTATGCTAGTTAAGTTTTTTAATTGCATAAAAACCTTCTGAGTTAGGTCCTAGTATCATTATCTTTATCTTTTTAGTTGAGGAAGATGAGACATGGGAAAGTAACTACCCAAAGTTACAGAGCTCACCGGTGGGAGTACATAGCATACAGTGATCCTGTTTCCTGACACACACACATACACACACACACACATTTCAATGAGTGAGGAAGGGATAAAAGGAAATGAAAAGCACTGAAAGATGACATGTGGGATTTTCTTGAGTATGTTGACTCTTCCACAGAGAAATGTTGATAAAGGCAAGGGATCAGGGCCAGGAGAACTAAGAATCTCCAGGAGAGGCGTAATATTAATACTCATGATTTTCGGTAGGCTCACACACTGTTAAGTCCCCATGAGCTCTGATCCATCCATTTCTCTAGCCAGAGGTCTTGAGAGAGGAAGAAGAGTGTGGGAGTGAGTGATTTAGCACCTCTTGGGAATCCAGAAAGGTTTTTCTCCTTTTCCCAACCCTTTCATGTTTGTTCTCATTCTTCATTCTTCATGGATGGGATATAACCAGAGTCCATCCTCCAGAGGAAATGGAAGAAGAGGCAGAGAAGTAGTTGTGCTACCAATACTCCAACTTGAAAATTTCTTAAATTCAAGACTTGAAGTGAATAGTATTATAACTGCTATAACAAAAACCATGTCATATTTTGCAATAACTTCCTAAAATGTATTTTCACTGACTTAGCATTTTAATAACTTAGGTTTAATTATAATATCAATTGGAAACTTCCTTTACCCTTCCATCTTTGAAATCTACAAAAATTGCTAATGAAATTTGGTTTACTCCTTGATCCAGAAAAGCAACCTACATATTCTTTCCTTCCATTTAACAACTCAGTCCATGGTCACTTGATTAGGTGTAGAAACTGGTTAAACATCTTATGAAAATTTAAGACAACCCTCAGGGTTTCCTTTTGATCCCAAAGAAAATGAGATTTAGATATAAAATTACAGCGAGCTCAGAATTAAGCTGGGATCAAAGTTTCCAATTCTTTGGTTGCACACGTTACACAAATTCCCCTATCCATGATATATACTGATATACATTACATTAAAATTAACATGAAAACTGACATAGAAAAGATATGATTTATAATGTCAGGAATATTTTAAACTGTGAAAACTGAGGGTGCCTGGCTGGGTCAGTCAGTAGAGTGTGTGACTCTTGATCTCAGGGTCTTGAGTTCAAGCGTCATGCTCGACATAGTACTTAAAAAAAAGAAAGAGAAATAAAAATGTGAAAGCTCAACCAGAGATGTGAGGGAAAAGTTACTGAACAAAGAAAATGAGAATTATTTATCAAAAGATAGTTTTAAATTAAATAATGGTTTTTAGTTAGAAAATTAAATTTAAAATCTAACTGGCAAATAAATCATATTCAAAGAAAAGGTAGTTCAACCATGAGCTGGTACATAAATTCCAGACATTCTTTGGTCATAAGGAATGACTTGGTAAATGAGTAGCCACATTAATTAACTATACAATTCAACAAAATAATCAAAATTTATTGTCAATATTGCTGTTTTTTTTCCTTTACCTGGTTGCCAAAGAGGTTGAATCCATTAATTGCTTCTAGAGCTGCTTTTGCTAAGCCAACAGAGCTAAAAGGAAAAAGGAAATACTTTATAATTCTGATGTATCTGGCTACAAAATAACCATTATCTAATGAATATTCACAAGCAAGTTTCTTTATTAACACTTATAACAACTTCCAAGAGAAAAATAATGTCTAAGAGACTTTAATCTGACATTTCACTATTTTAATTTTTCTTTTTTATGGTTAGTGATCTTTTGGGAAAAATATTTCTAAGTTCACCTTGATCTAGACAAATGGTCATACTATTGATTGGAGTAGTTTTAATCCCAGTATCATTTATATTCACTAACTCAAGAAAAAAAAAAGATGAACTTTAGAGGAAGGTGTATTATGGTGACATGTACTCAGTAATAACCAGATTGGGGATCATTAGTTCAGATCAATTTAACAGAACTTTTCTGACATCAACTCTGAGCTTTAAAAAAGATCTTGCACGTCATACACTTACCAGAGTTTAATAAGAATTTAATATAACCATTCAAATGCTCTTTGCTTAGGATCCAATAAAATTGGTATTATTTTATTCTCAAAGAACAACTGATCACCATACTTCTCATTTCTTTGCTATATTCTTCTCTTTGTATAAAATGTGTACCCTTTTGGCCTCTCAAATGCCATATACAATAGTGCTAAGAAGTGGGAAGACCCAAATTTCATTAAAAATGGGACACTTGTCATCTTATAAATATCAAATTTTAAGTATTTTAGATCAAATATCTGTCTAATTTTACTAATTGTAATTTTTTTGTTTTTACTTAAAGCTACTGTGTATGCCATTAATATCATTTAAAAATAATGATCTGTCATCATTTAAGCATTTCTTTAAAGCAGAGATTACAACACTGTGGTCCCCAGAGCAGCAGGATTCCCTGGAAACTTAAAAATGCCAGTTCTCACTCCTCTCTGGGAGTGGGACCCAACAATCAGTGTTAAAAACCCCTCCTCTAGGTCCTTAAATATACTTTAAATTTGAGAAGCACTGTTTTAAGCTAACCATGTCACTGTCATCCACATTTTCTATCAGCTGTTTACATGAAATGTTCTCAAGTAAGGCTACTTTTATTACTGGATAAGGAAATCTATTTTGAAAGAATAGAAAGAAGTGGGAAGCTTATTTTGAAATACATGGGTGGAAAGGTGGAGCAGACATAACTATCGCTATTCCTTTCACTAAATATAACTAAAAACCTTGGACATTACATAAGCAAACATAAAAAGGTTCAGAAAATTGGAAAAAAAGAAAGGCAGACTGGCTAAGAACCTCAGGATGCTAGGAACAGCACTGTGGTAAACACCTTGAGTTTCCTTTTTGCCTCATATATAACAGACTTAAAGAAGTCAACAACTAGGAAATATCAGCAGGTGCATTTTTACAAAAGCCCCAACAAAAGCTTGCTTTCCTTAGCCAAAGGACTAGGAATAGGGAAGCCCAATAAAACAGAAAGCTTTTAGATAATAACCATTCAGAAAAAATACTGTGGCGCTTATCCCCACCCAGTCTCATAAAGGCTGAGTGGGAAACCTAGACGTCTACACTCCAGAGTCTATAATGAGGAGCCATACCGAATCATCAACCCTCTCAGGTGTGGTGATGTCAGAGAAGTCAAAGAAAGAAGCCAAGACTTCTCATTCCCAATGAGTCAGAAGTCTCCCCTCCTTATACTGTAAAGATCACATGGAGCCTAGATTTCCATTCTCTCCCATCAGTAATGAAATGAACCTCTGGGACATCCTCTGGGATGTCATCAGAGGGTCCAATGCAGAGTCAGGTCTTTCACTAATGCCTAGCTCTATGGATATACCCTTTCCCTAACATGTAAGTGGAGGCCAGTTGGGAATAAGTAATGAAGCACATCTATCTTTTCCAACTACGAAGGTATCAGTGGAAGGCAACTGGGGAGCAATATATCTCACCCAGACCCAGAAAGAATGAAGAATCTCTACTTTGGGTATCAACAAAAAACCTGGCAATACATTCTTACCTGGCAATAATACAGTGATGCTCCTGTCCCCATCCCTTACCAGGGTGGTATCAATAAAATACAGCTAAAGTAAAAAGTTAAAAAAAAGATTCAGGGTTTTATAATATAATATCCAGATGTCCATGCCTTAATAAAAAAAAATCACTCATCATATCTAAGAACAGAAAGATCTCAAACTGAATGAAAAAGATAAAGCAATAAATGCTAATTGAAGAGATGTTAGAATTATGGGACAAAATTTTAAAACAGCCATGATAAAAATGCTTCATTGAGCAATTATGAATATGAGTGAAACAAATGGCAAGATATAAAGCCTCAGCTAAGAAACAGGCAGTCTCAGCAAGTCTTTTAGAACTGAAAAATACAATAATCAGAGCAAAAGGCTTAATGGACAGGATTGATGGCATAATGGAAAAGACAGAAGAAAAAACAACTAAATTAAAAGATAAAACAATAAAAAGTATCCAATCTGAACAAAAGAGACTGAAAAAAAAATGAAAAGAGCCTCAGGGATCTGTGGGACTGTAACAAAAGATCTAACATTCAAGTTATCGGACTCCCTGGAGGAGAAAAAGGGCAGGGCTAAAAAAAAAAAAGTAATTGAAATAATGGCAGAAAATTTCCTAATTAGCAAAACAAAAACAAACAAACACACAAAAACAAAAACAAAAAAACCCCTAAGGATTCAAGCACCAACCTCAAACAGAATAAAATAAAAATATCCATGCTATGACATACAATAAGTTTTGAAAACTAATACAAATTAAAAATCTTGAAAAGGGGCACTTGGCTGGATCTGTCAGTGTAGCTTGCCATTCTTGATCTTAGGTTTGTGAGTCTGAGCTCTATGTTGGTTGTGGAGATTACTTAAAAATAAAATTCTTAAAAAAAAAAAAGTCTTGAAGGTAGCCCCAGAAAATACCTTACCTATAGGGAGAAAACAACTGAATAACAAGGACTTATTTATCAGAAACCATGAAGGCTAAAAGGATGTGGAACAAAAGTTTTTAAGCACTGAAAGAAAAGAACTGTCAACCCAGAGTCTTATACCAGTAAATATATTATTTTTATCTATCTATCTATGCAAGACATTCTCAGATAAAAGAAAAAATAAGAGTTCTGTCCCCAGCAGATCTACTCTAAAAGTGTGATTAAAATAAGTTCTCAAAACAGAAAGGAAATGACAGGAAGAAAGAAGGAAAGAAACCAACTACCTTGGAATAATCAAAAAGGAAGAGAGAAGGTGGTAAGTAAAAATATAGGTAAATACAATAGAATTTTCTTCTCTTATATGTGATGGTTACAGCAAAAGCTGTAACACTGTGGTTCTAAAATATGGGGAGGAAATGCTTAGGATATTTATATTATAAATGGGAGAGGGTAATAAGACCTAAATGGAGGTAGGATTTCTATATTTCCCTCCAACTGGTAAAATGATGGTATCAATAAGTTGCATTGTTCTAAGTATATGTATATGTATATGCAATACCTACAACAACCACTAAAAAGCTATACAAAAAGAGCCATTCAAATCCAATATATAAAAATCAAAATGGAATTCTAAAAAAATGCTCAAGAACCCACATGAAGGTAGGAAAAGAAAGAGAAAAACAAGAGAAGATAAACACAAAACAGAAATAAAATAAAATGGCAGAATTAACTCCAAACAATAATTACATTAAATGTAAAAGGTCTAAATATATCAATTAAAAGAAAGACTGGCAGTGTTTATTTAAAAACATGACCAATTATATATTGTCTATTAGACACTTACTTCAAATATAACAATAGAGGCAGATTGAAAGTGTAAGGAAAAAAATGAAATCTCATGCAAACCTTACTTTAAAACAAGCAAGAGTGACTATATTAATATCAGATAAAGTAGATATTAGAGCAAGGAAAATTACTGGAGACAAAGAGGGATATAATATAGTGATGAAAAAAGTCAATTCACCAAGAAGATACAGCAATCGTCAATGTACATGCAGCAAATAAAAGAGCTGCGTAACATGTGAAGCAAAACTGATAGAACTAAAAGGACAAACAGACTAAATCATAATTATAGTTGGAGACTTTCTCAACAATGAGTAAAACAACTAGACATAAAATCAGCAAGGATACAGAAGAACCATTAATCAGCAGAATCTGATCAATATTTTGTATAATATTCTTGCTATGAACTAAATTAGGTGTCCCCCCACCCTTACATACTTACACTGAAGCCTACCCTCCACTGTTATGTATTTGAAGATGGGGTCTTTAGAAGATAATCATATTTACATTAGATCATGAAAGTGGCCCTACTTATGGCATTGGTATCCCTATAAAAAGAGATGCCAGAGATAACCATCAGCAAACCAGAAAAAGAGTCTTTACCACAGAATCAAATTAGCTAGCACTGTGGTCTTGCTTTTGGTCTTTCTAGTCTATAGAACTATATGAAATAAATTTCTATTATTTAAGCTACCAAGTCTATGGGATTTTATGACAGCCAAAGTTGACTAATAAAATCTACATAACAATTGAGTATACCTTTTTTTTCAACTGCCCAATAACATATACCAAGATAAACTATATCTTGGCCATAAATAAAGCCACAAAAATATACAAGTACTAAAATCATAATGTGTTCTCTGACTACAATGGCATCAAACTAGAATCAACAATAGAAAGGCAATAGGAGAATCTCCCAACACTTGTAAACAAAATAATATATGTCCATCAACACAATCCACATGGGTGAAAGAGAAAGTCTCAAGTGAAATTAAAAACAACAACAACAAAAACTGAACATGACCAGCAAAGAAAATGAATCAGTAATCAAAAATCTCTCAACAAATAACAGTCCTGGGCCAGATGGCTTCCCAAGGGAATTCTACCAGACATTTAAAGAAGAGTTAATACCTATTCCTCTGAAACTGTTCCAAAAAGTAGAAATGGAAGGAAAGCTTTCCAACTCATGACAAAGACCCCACTAAAAACAATTACAGACTAATATCCCTGATGAACCTGGATGCATAAA